TCCCCTCTTTTCATTGATATGTATTTAGTCCTTTTTGAACATTTGTGGAAAAAAATAACTCAATTTAAAATATCGTCCAATCAAAATTGTCCAACAGAAATTGACTACTGCTCATTGTTATATATACAGTTCCACTATAACTCAATATTTATGGATGAAATTTTCTGTGAATATACTATAGACGATGCCTGTAATTTTGACGCAAGCCACGCCTCAAAAGCTAACTTTATAAGATAGTTATACGCAAAATAAAATCGTCCAAACAATTTTGTCCACTATAGTATAATTGTAGCATGGAAACTAACACCTATAGTGCAAACCTGCATTTGAATCATTCAATATAGTTTCGTAGTGCATTATGAAAAGAAAACTTAAATTTTATTGGATCTTCGAATATTTTGTTGGATGGCAAGAAGTCTCACGGTTATTCTTGAAAGAAACTCAATTATATAGATCATGATAAATAGACCGTCTCTTGAGTGAATCAAAAATTGTTACAATGCATCATTCGTTCAGAGAATTGAGTATCAACCTCGCTGATGAGCTTCCATGAGAACATTTGTAGATAATAGAAGTCTTCTGTCATGCAACATAATTCAAAAATCAGATTTTGTTGAGCTTAGTATTGCCTAATATCAGGAGTCTGCAACGGTCTTCTTTCCTGGTTCATGATCAGTTTATCATTTATTTTGTTTATGGTAACGATTTTTGAGAGAAATCCAGTGACGGTGTTGCCATTTATGATCTTGTTCACTTAAGATTTGATAGTCGTTATAGTGAATCAAAAGCTGTAGTAAATTCGATTACATTGTGTTCATGATACTTAGTTCTTAAGAGAGCTGATTGTTCTAGATAGTCTATAAATACTTTAGAAACCAATCCATACAAAAAGAAGTTATCGAAGAAGACTAAAACATATAATGCATTATAACGCTAGGTAAAAGCTGTTTCATTCGTTGCCGATTCATTGATTAGAATCACATTATCATATATTTGTCAAAATATATCTTCAACGAACAACTATTTGAAATGATCAAAGCTTTTCATTGACTTATTTATGAGATATTTCAGATATAGTTAGATATAGCACACCATTTGATACAAATTCAGGAAATGCTCATCAATTGTTTGCTCGAACATTAAAATGTAAGTGTAGATTTAATTTATGAGCCTTATGTTAACCACACGATATACAAAATTCACATTCAAAAATTAAAATAGTTGTCAAATTTAGACTGTATGTTGAATTGAACCATGTTTTCTAATGTTCTACGAAAAGTAATAGAAACACTGATGTTCATATTGTTCTTTGCTGTTTATATTTCAGTATAACAGTGTGATGAACTCCTTACTTGAAAACAACACACTAAGTTAAAATGTGTCGCATGTGTCGTGATTTACGACACATTAAAGTACGACACGAGAAGCTCACTGCAACACATTTTCTATTGGTTCTTTTGGAAAAGCATATTTCCATTTTTTTTTCAATTTAATTCCATTCAATTATTCCTATTCTGAAAATTCAAGTAGGTCAGATCCTGGGATCTGTCCGATCTCGAGTTGGTCCGATTTGCATCAGACCGCTTCAGGGTAGTCTTCTCTCGGTGATGGATCGAGATTAGCATTTTCTCGATAAAAAAATGTGCGAGAAATAATTTAGAAAAAAAAAATTATTTGAAAAATTTATCTTTCATACATTCAGTCGTGTTGTTTATATATCGCTATGTGTGCATAACAAAACAGGGCACGAATAGTCAGCAGACAGAACGCGACAAATTTGTATACGACACATTCTAAGCACGACACATTTTTGTGCTGGAGTGCACGACACATAAATACGACACATTTAAATTTAGTGTGAATCATGTAGCAGAAAATTTCTATGAATAAGGTCAGAGAATAATAAAAATATGAATCTATAGTTTCTGCAGTTGCAGATATCTATAACTTCAACACAGAAAATTAACGCGCCAATGATATTCTTTTATTACTGCATCGCTGGTATATTCAGACATATTCTCTTAAGTTGACGGTTTTAAGTTGTTTTTCAAAGACTATTGTCAGATCAGCCTATGTCGGTCACCAGAAGCTTTTTAGAAGCTGTCATATTAAGCATAGCTGAGAGGAGTCCATGAGATAACTATAATTCAACAGACATCCACAGTTTGGCAATGTACAAGGTGATATAAAAGTTCTTGGAAATATGTAAGCTTCTCTTACATTAGAATAGATAGATATCGGAAGATTATGCGTTTTTGATCGATGGAACATCATGCATAGTTCATGGGTATATTTTTAGTAGACTTGTTTTATAAGCTAGTACCAACATTCGTTCAATATTTCGTGAACTCTTAAAAAGTAGCCTATTAACATTTTTTCCGATAAACAATGTATTATTGGCTTGGGGCTTCTTCTTCGACCTTCTTTATCTAGATTCATACTCTAAAATCTATAATATTTTGTTTATCCTAAAAAGAACTCTAAATATAGCTCAGAAGAATGATTAATCGATGTCTTGGTATGTTATTTGGAAGATCAATTATATCGATTTCTTGAAACTTCATGATAGGGTATACCACTTCGTATCTAGTGAATTTGGTGCTTGATACTTCACTAAGTCAAGCTTTCGTAGAGCAGACTAGTTTTAATATGTATCTTTCGGTATAATATAATTAGATCGCAAAATAATATCAGTCGGGTTTGTTCTTCAGAAAAACAACTAAATACAACTGTG